CAGAGGTGTTCGATATGGCATTAAGTGAAGCTCCATAAATATGCGACCGAGGGCATACTCACCCTAGGACTCTTTCAGTTGATCTCTGGACGTAACTGCGATCACATACATCGAGGACTGGGTGTACAAGTGGTCAGATACATCCAGAAATTAATAGTGTGAGCATTCCACTGACTGATGAGCGCAGCTGCATCACTAAACATACTGTGCAGCATGCGTGTCCAAACTTGATGCCACTCACCTCACAGAGGTTGCTAATAACACTTAACAACACATTGCAGCAAACACGCAAGCAAGCAAGCTAGCAAGCTCGCAAGCTCGCTGGCTAGCTAGCTAGCTAGCTGCTTACTTGCTTGGTTGCTTGCTTAACTTCGACCCATACTCTTCTCGCTCTGTGTCAATTTGTGCATGTCCTTGTTGCACAGGGGCAATGCTAATGTTCTCGATCTCGACTCTTGACCCATTTTTCACATTCGACAGAGGATGTAAAGCAAATGCCCTGTTGTAGCTGTATTTGGGGCAACTTTCAGTCTCGTTACAATGATAATGACCATTTGTTGTGGCACTCAAAGTGTGGTACACTCAGCGTGCTCGATGTGCTAAATTGTGTTCTTACTCAATTACCCTTGCCAGTACTGATCCCTCTTTTAAGATGGGTTGGCTTTCTTAAAGTAACCACCAGTGGCTTAAGCAAAACAGTGGCCACACCTCTTGCTTCATTGAAAGAATCAGTATAGGCATGGAGTTGAGGCATGCGATGTTCCCTCTCCCTGGACCCCCAACTCCCCCTCCCATATCCCTACCTCCCTCCCTCTCTCTCTCTCACACACACACACACACACACACACACACACACACACACACACACACACACACACACACACACACACACCTCTACATCTGGGTGGAACAGTGGCTGTGGTGGTGAAAATCTAGCACACACAGACACACAGTCAGGACAGCATCTATGATGGCATCTGCTGAAAAGGCATACCGGGGCAACCACATGTGCATCTGCTGTGAAACCGGACCCGTTGTCCTCCTCAGGCACTTCCGCAGCAAGATCATCCTCCATTGCAGTGGACTTGCTTCCTCCATGAGCTGTTGTACCTGCTGTCCGTCTAAGCCTCTGCGACCAGAACAATGCACCAGACTCAAAGAGTCAACACAATCTTAAACATCCCCTTAAGCAACCCCCTTTCCCATGAAGAAGAGCCTAAGGAGAGCACTGGGAAGACGAATGGAGTAGAGAAGTTCAGAAGAGACGGGGAGAGAAAAAGATGAGGAAGAAAGAACCGAAAGAGGCAAAAAGATGTGGAAGCAATTTAGGGACTTGGCTGGTTGTGGTTCACCGGCGGAGGTGGTTGGTCTGGGTCTCCTGGCTGTTTGTGGAAGCAACAATATAGGCACTTTCCAGCCAGCGCCAGGTGTTAGGAGGTAGGGTATTACTCGTAGCATAGAGTAGAGGTGTGTTCTGCAAAGTAGGTAGTGTCTAGTAGACTCATAACCCTTAGGATTGTTTCCTTGGCCTAGTGTATATTGGGTAGTGTGACAGTGTTGCACACCCCGACCGTCGGTGACCCTTGACTGGTCGGCTGCCGACCCGCCGACCGGTCGGCTGGTCGAAACCTACTGGTCGGGGGTCGTCGGCACCCCGCCTTTTTCTTTGGGGGGGGGGGGTCCAGAACCCCTAATAATATCACCAACACCACCATAGCAGACCCAATACCCCATATACCACCCCAACAGCCCCGAACAGCCGCCAACACCCTTATTAAACTGTCCATAACCCCCTATATCACCCCTATACTCCGTCGCATCGCATGCGCGCGAGCTCCTCACGTGCGGCGCCTAGTGCACACGCAACCATGCGCGCACACCCCAATAAATAGAGTTAAAAAAAAATTGGGGAGGGCTGGCTGAGGTAGCCAATGGTGCCCCTCCCTTCTAAAATATCGAAGGGCACAGGAAAAAAAATTGAGCATACAAATTCCTTGTTGAATTGTCCTTTTCCCGAAGGACCCCAGTGCATCTGCAAAGGTCCCAACGTCTCAAGAGACGTTCAGCAAATTCCGTGTGAGAATGGAGCAGTCCAGCAATATATGTTCTGGATCCGAAGTCAGGTCTGCTTTCCAGCAGTTATGGGTTACACGTTACAACTACTTACTACCGTATATGGCGACGTATGGTTCCATGTTCTAGCAGAAGATTCATTCCTCTCTTTCTTTTGTTTCCTTTTCCTACGAGCAGTGGCCCTAAGGGCCTTGCTCCACTCTTCACCACTTGCACGAAAGACAAAACATATGGCGGCATATGATTCCATGTTGTAGCAGAAGATTCATTCCAGTTTTGCACATTTGGTGAGTAGTAAAGGGAAGCCCTGGAAAGCACATGGTGAGTTGGCCTTCTACTGCCCAGAAACTCGCGTGCTCAGTGGTCCCATAACTCCTGAAACGCGGATCTTAATGTGAATCAACAGCATATATACTTGGCGTGCCATGACTCTGTTATGAGCATTATCTCGTTCATGGTGAGGTAGCCCTTACTAATTATGTGCAAGGGCCTCTCAAATAGCCCCCAGGGGTTTTGAAATAAATGTTAAGGAGCTATTTGTTCTCCCCCCCCCCCAACCCCACCCCCCCCCACCCCGATGAGGAGACAACAGCCTGCATTTCTATTAAAAAACATGTCGGATCCACCACAGCGAAGAAGACAGGGCAGAGGAGGGAGGGAGGGGGGAGGCCTGCGCAAAACACCATCCACGAAAAAAAGACAAGAAAAAAAATCCAGAAAAAGCAAAGGAACTCGTAGCAGGAGTATGCCCCAAGCCCCTGCAATGACGAGGCCACCCCAAGGAAAAAATCTTTGTTTGCGGGGTCCGAACCCCTTCGAGTTCGGGCCCCGTACGGGGACCCGAACGCCCGAACGTTCAAGGGTCAGCTTAGGGGCCTCCGTACGTTCGGCCTCGCAAATCTGATTAGTATTATTATTATTATATTATTTTTCTTTTGTTGGACCCTTCTATTGTCCTTGCACCGGCGACCGCCCTGTTAAATAAGGTGGCTCGGGCGGCCTGGGAAGTAACTCGAAATATAATACAATTGTTAATAAAAAAGTACTACATGTAATATTATAAAAAATATATATACAAGCAGGGTCACCAGCTCGTCCGTACAAAGGGCCCGAGGCGGACCTCTGTACATTCTGGCATTCGGGGTCTTGTTCGGGGTCCAAACCTGAACGGGTTCGGCCCCCGCCAAAAAATATTTCGGGGTCTGCAAATAACTTTTGTTTCTTGATTTTTTTTTCTTCTATTCTCTATGATGTTAGGTACATGTCTAAACATTTTGAATTAATTTTGCTCTGCTAAAAAAAAATAAAAAATCTCCAAAGATTAAGGTGTCAAAATATGCGCGCTCATTCATAATTTTTTTTTCCGCTTTTTTACTTTCAGTTTTCATTTTATTTCGGGATATAATGCGTATCTTCCCATGTTCCAATGGGAGGTAAGGAGCCCGGGTCCAATGCAGGCTACCAACAAGGGAAAAAACAAAAAAACAGTACGTCTCCCCATGTTCCAGCGGGAGCGGTAGGCCTGCATCAGTCTCGATGATGAAAGGACGACCTTCAACATCATCAAAATAAGGAACTCCCAAAATTAGACCGCCTTCTCGAAATTCGACCTTTATATCCTCAACGGTCGCTTGCTGCTTCGGTCCCCATTCCCAGATCTTATTCTTGCGTACTAATTTCCACAAGTGTTTCACTCTCGCTGCGAACTTACGGATAAAAATACGTCAAAATTCGCAAGTTCCAAGGAAGCTTCGAACATCGATAATAGATCTGAAGGGAGTCTGCCACTCCAAGATCTCATTCGTCTTTTTGGCATCTGGCCGACGACCCTTTTCGTCACAAAGGAATCCCAGTATTACTGCCTTCCTCATGCCATGCCTTGATTTAACCACACTAGCAGTGAGGTTATCATAGTGCGAGTATGCCCTAAGCCGACGCATCCAGGAGGTTACCCCTCACATCTGGTGAGCGCTGGAGCCAAGGCCCAACGTGGGCTACCTGAAAGGGAAAAAAAAAAAAAAAAAACCCGAGTAAAGAATCATAGTGTGAACATGCCCTAACACTCACGAGGGAACCCAAAACAGAAAAAAAAACACCAGTGTATCTTCCCATGTGTTCTACCAAAAACAAAAGAAAACGGCCGTGCATCTTCCCAGGTTGTACCGGGAGATTCATTCTCATTTTGCAGATTTGGTGAGCCCTGGAGCCAAGGGCCAAAGTAGGGGGGAAAAAACAGCGGTGCATCTTCCCAGTTCCTAGCGGGAGATTCATTCTCATTTTGCACCTTTGGTGAGTGCTGGAGCCAAGGCCCGACGGGATAAGACGTGCTGAGAATAACGCAGTTTCATATCTTTTGCCTTTTGTGCATTCGATCCGAACATGCCCACACGTGGTTAACGGGGACCCCCAGTTTCAGCTCCTGACTAACAGGTGACGCGCTGCTATGAACTTGTATTCGTACATGTGTGCTGACACGAGGACACAAACGCACTTCGGTGCCCCCGGAATGCCCCGAGCTTAAAGCCTTAAACACACACAAAAAACAGCCGCGGCCCAAGTAGAGGTTTCAACTGGGCCCACCCCCCGTGTCCCCTTTCCCAACATTTTAAGTCGGGCCTCGCGCTGGCGTTACGTGGGACCCGCCTTACACTTTAGTAAGAGTAGAGAAAAGGAAACAGAACAAATATGAGAGTAAAGGACAGCACGATGGTGAGGTAGCACAGAAACAGTTCGAGGAACGAGAGAGAGAGGAGCGAAGAAGGTACAAGAGAAAACAGAAAGAGCGGCAGAGAGAGGACAGGAGACGCGATGAGAGGTGAGAAGAGTAGAAGTGGAGAACAAAGGCAAAGAAGGACGAGGAGAGAAGAAAAATAAGCAGCGGTCATTACAATCAGGTAAATGGAGGACAAGGTCTGAGGGAAGGAGAATGGTGTTCTGAAATCAAACTCGTCTTCTTCCCACTTTGTCATGCCTGCAAACAGCGGTACAGCAACTGGCGACATGCGCCCACACAGTACTCAAGATATCGTAACCAGATATGAGTTCTCTTCAACTGGCTATGGCGACTGGGCGCCCACACAACTCACTGTTCGCACTCTGGATCACCCTGGATGTTCCACACGCAACACTCAGTATCATACACAACACACACACACACTATGCTACAGCTATGGCAGCGCTAGCTGCCTCTACCCTATCGCTACACTACACTTCTCTGGCCACTTCGTCTTCGGGCGCACTGCAGACCGCCTCGCACAAGCTGCTAAGGCAGCGCTTCCGCCTGGCATCCGCAGGAATGAATGAATGAATGGACGCAGCCTCTTGATTTATACTTCTGTGCTGCATTGGTCTGCCCTGTGTCCCGGGCCCATGGTGCACACAGTTCCCCCCGTGGTACTTGCTGGACCGGACTGGTACTTTCTAGACTCTCCCTTGACTGTATGACGACGACCCTACGACGCAGTGCAATTGCACCGGGGTCCTACTATTTGACCTTGCCACTTGTCCTCGTCTCCAATATGGGCTTGCTTTAGTCACACCACTTGCCCACTTGCCTGCACCACTTGCCCACTTGCCTGCACCACTTGACCACTTGCCAACCTTCTAGAAGGACAGCAGCTAGCCTTCTAGTCTACAGGTCTATGGATCGAATCCTGGCTCCCTATAGACCTACGACAGACCTACCTACCACTGGTGGTTCTACAGGTCGCAGGTTCAACTCTTCGAGTTGACGCAGGTATTGTACACAGGTAAGTTGGGGAACTAGGGATCGAGCCCTGGGATCTATCTCAGCTACCACGAATTGGTGAATACCGTTTCAGTTCAGGGGGAGAAGAGAGAGAGTGTTTATGTGAATGTGGGCACAGAGAGAGAGAGAGAGAGAGAGAGAGAGAGAGAGAGAGAGAGAGAGAGAGAGAGAGAGAGAGAGAGAGAGAGAGAGAGAGAGAGAGCTGATCCAGCTGACTCTTTTAACTTCAACCTTATCCAGGTGATTCTTTGACGAACTGAATGATCCTCTCATTGAGTTGATTTGTCGACTGGAAAATGAAAAAGAACTGATCAATTCTTTCACTCTTTGGAAAAGTTGTCATCAGCACACAGATAGTTGAAAAAAGACAAAGCACAGAAATACCAGTGCTTCTTCACTGAATACTCTGCATGGGAAAACTCTATATCACATCTACTTGTCAATTAATCGGTTCGAAATTCAAAGCATGAGACCTATGAAAGCATGACAGACAGCACCTTCGCAAATTGCAAATGAATGGCAAAGAATTCAAACTCCTGATCTGTTTATCGACTGTGACATGTGCGCACTAATCACCCCGCTAGGCAGGTGCCACACAGTTCTTGATTTCCACTTTGAAGAAGAGAAGGGAAAAGAAAAGCAGACAGATGCAAAGAGTTTGTTCCATATCCCTGCATCCAGACACAACATCATTCTTTTGTTGTTGCCTTTTTTGAAGTTTTTTCTCCTTTCTATTTTGAGGGGGTCACCCATAGCCCTTATTCTTGTGTCAAACAGCATTTTACACCTTGAAAACACGTCTGATTGCTACTTGTTGAAGGAGTGCACCATTCAGTCGGCAGGGAGGCAGTATGA